TTCACCTTATACTTCATGATTTTAAGAGTTTCCCATATACAGCACACATGCACTTAGCCTACATAAGGGACGGTAATGGGCAAGGGAGCCTCAAGGCGAAGCCGGGACTTATGGGAAATGCCTAAGGAGTTTTTTTACTGTCTGCCTCCCCTAACACAGTCCCATTACTGGCAACGCCACATGTTCTGCATCATCGCCATGTACAAAGAGGGAGTTAAAAGGTATTTACATTTATTTCCCTAATAAAACTGAACTGAACTGAACATAATCATTTTAAGAGGTGCTCATATACGGTTTACCTACTTATGGGACAACAACATCTAAGGAAGCCCAAGGCGAAGCCGGGCTTCCGCGCTAGTGACCAATGATCTCGGGTTTGAATTTCGGGGTTGCAACCCTTCAGGTTAGGTATGACTGGCTAACAAGCCAGAAATGGCCCTTCCGGCCTCCGTTTGCTTTGTCGGATCCACTGCACCAGACGGAGGTATGTTAATATTTGCAGAGATTTAGAAGTGAGGATGATGGGAGAATAAGTAGAGGCAGTCAGTGTCACTAGTTAATGTGAAAAAGGGAAACGCGAATGCATGCTCGCCAAAGTCTTCTGCCTACGGCAATGTTCGCAGCTATGAAAAGGGGTTTCCCACTTTGACACATGCGAAATTAGTACACATGCAAGCTGATCTAATTTAGAATTCAGACCAACAAAGGCTTAAGCTTACAATGTGTCTTGTTCACTTTAAATTTCGAAACAAGGTTACTACACTTTCAATCGCCGGAGGGCGTTCCTGCTATATCAGCCCTTCTAAACAAACCTTCGCTATCTCCAGCCTATGCCCGGCCATGTTTGCAAGACAATTCTTGGAGTGAAGACTTGGTGTCACCGTCTTCACATTCCGGGAAATTTTCGGGCAGCGTAGAATGCCCTAAAAAGAGGTAACCCCCTCTGCAGTCCTTAATAAAAATGACACCTTTCTCAAAAAAATTAATTGGGAAAAAGCTTATTCTATGGCGGCTTTAATTTGCGAATCACCATTGACAGTGTACATGTCTGGCTGTTACTAAATACTCCCATCATCCCTAATACGGATGGGATGCACATCCCATCATCACATGGAAAATGCAAACACTAGTACAGCAAGTTTTTAACAGCCTACTTCTTCGTCCCAAGCAAAGGACAGTTCACGGAATGTCGAAGTTTTATGTAACATTTAGAGTCAAACGTCCGAACACTAGACTAATTGCACACCGGAATTAATTGACTTTCGTCAGAAAGTACACAGTCAGCTGTAGGAACAAATCGCTATTATATATATATATATATCAATGAAATAATTTCAGATATTATTAACTGCACATCATGAGGTAATGTGAACGGGATCTAAATTTTTAGGGCCAGACCCGGAATTCATGATGAATATTTTAGATGGACGCAATCAACTACTGTGGGATAATCACGTAACGCCTATTTTACAAACAAGTAGTATAACTCCTGTATGACTAAAATGATATGCCGTACTCCCGACATAGGTACTATCTAAAAGCTCCGAGACGTGTTTCGCCGATATTTCTACTACTGAAATACGCAGCAACGAGGGGTTCTGCCTCCTCATTTCCGTCATTAGACTTGTGTTTTGATTCTTCCTGTTGGCCTCGATAGTTTCGGTCTTTACGCCTGCATTCTATCACATTTGTGCTCATCGCAGGATCTTTGACCCGCCCGTTCACTGCTGTCTAGTATCGATCTTTCCCAGATTGATCGCCGGCGGACTCGCGTGAGCTTTGTCTCCCTTACGTCCTTCGTAATTCTTGACAAGTCAGCGTGCTTGTTGGCTTGCCACACGCAAGCCACCAGCGGCCATTCTCGGAGACTTCAACCCTAACCAACAGCGATCGCAAAGGTCAAAGTTAGTGTGTTCAGCACAGATATTATATCAGGCAGCGAAATAGTCAAAGCCAGCAGGAAGAACCAACACACCATTCTGCTGGTGGAAACAAGAGGGTTTCCGAAAGATCAATCCAGATTTATTCCGTTCTACGAGGACGCCCCTTCTTCATCTTCCTCCGGGGTGATAAGCACGATAAGACACCTAGACCTCGAATCTTCAGGAATATTGACTTACTTTTCTCTGTATTTTGATTCTGTAGGACCGTTCATCAATCTTTAATCTATTCGTCATTATCTTTCTCACACACCAATCCAGCACTGTACTCATTCAAAAGAAGAAACGTGTCATCCTGCAAAGGCTCAATTCACAATCAGTAGAAAGGTTCTCCGAAGTAAGTGCCTCGTCTCCATCAGCAGCTGATGCAAATGATGTGGATCACAGCTCGGCATTCGAGCGATCGCAACGGAAAACCGGTCGGCGTACCTTCTCCGCGAGCGAGAGTCCCACGCACACTGCCTCTCCGTCGCACCTGAGACCCACAGTCGCCCCAGCTGCACGTCATAGCTTAGAAATGCCGACGCAGAAACAGCAGCAGCAACAGCGGCGACAGTCAAAAACACCTGATTGCGACTGCCACTCCAGGTTACCTCTTCCGCGAAAGGATCAAACTCCGGCGACAAATGCGGTCCGTGACATGCACAGTCCATCCCGCCATGGACGACAGCATTGGCAGTCACCTAGCCTAACGCTTGTAAGATGGCTGAGCTCAGCTGACCTTGACTCAGGTAGGCTTTTGAAGGGATTTGAATAGTTGGCTGGAAGGAATGTCTTATTATTGGAAGTAGACCATGCCAAAAAGTAGAAGTCACATTTTCGGGTACTTTATGGGTTTTTTAAATGCATAAAATTATTTGTGTGTCAATAAAATTAAAGGTACGGCAACAACCTATTATAGAGCTCATCAAGGAAACCAAATGCCCCGAATTTTGTAATACGGAACCGACGGTCCTATGGGTGAGACATCGCGGGGAGCGCCGGGGCGAAAATAAAAGAAATGTAGCAAGCAGAAGCAGGAAATAGTGTATAAAGTTATCATAATTACGTTATATACACAAAGAACAAGTGCGCCATAATTGAAACGTAAAGTAAAAGCAATTTGCGAAAATTCGGACTCGAACCAAATCCGAGGGTTTGAAAAATCGAACGCGAAACGAATCCAAAGTTGTCCAACTTTTTCGAACGCGAATGGGATCCGAAAATTTGAATCTATTTTTTTAACCATACAGCGGGTAACGTACTTCTCAATAACACTTTAAAAACCGTAGTAACAAAACGTATAGAAGACTTTCAATAGTATCTATAATCGATTATGAAAATAAAGTACGAAAAAACCTCACAGGGCAATGATATAAAAGTGCTTTTCAATTTATTTCTCTCTTTCTGTCAGCAAAGATATCCGTAAGGGTTGCAATGTTATATTTGGCTGGACTATGTCGAACGTTTGCGTTGAGAAACCCAGCCGACGCCAAAGTAATAAAATAAAACATGCTTACTATTACAAAATAAGTAGAACGTTATGCAAAGTAAAGAAGGACATAGTTATCCTTATAATAGGTCGCCACCAAAAATACTTCGGCACCTCGTCATTTTACATGTTAATTGAATAGTCTTACGCATAAAGTATGAAAGAGTGAGATCGTTATAATCCGGTCAGTTCGCAACGCCGCATACCACGAGTGATACCGGGTCGTGATCGGTTCGGTCGCTTAATATATAATATAGTGAGGAAACATTCATCTGTCCTGCGGATAGATTTTCCAGTGTTGGTCTCATCCCCACTTCCTTCTTACATGCTCTGTCCGACCTTGTCATTCAATTTGGTGATGGAATTAGGCCATTCGATTGGGAGTTTTCTTCTAAAACGTCATCAGAAACAGTTCTGTATAAGCATACTGCTTTACTTCTAGACTTTTCAACCATTTGTTCAAAAGCCTCATGCATCTACGGTTTCAATTTCGTTCGAGTCCCTCATCGCCTGACTAGTAACTATACAGGGAAAATGTCCTATCTTTGTGTATGAAGACGCTAGAAGGTTGTGCTTTGGGAGAACATGACACAAATGGCTCACGCTTCACATTTTTTCACTTTCCGCAGGACTTTAGCCTTGTCAAGAATGTGGTTTTGACCGTGGCTGTCGGGAAATTGTCGGCTACAAAAATAAAATCAGCAAGAGATTGTCCTTTTAAGCTTATAAGGAAGTGGAACATTCTACTAAAACCCAACATAACCACTCTAAAAATGGCTCACAGTATTTGATTATTTTAAAAAGAACATGAGCCCCGCTTTGGGAGAAAATTTGTGCCAGGGTACGTTGGCGCGGATGTAACGTTACACATCCCCGGCGGATATATCTGAACGAATTTCCTGCTATTTGCCCAACAAAATAAGTGTCTCCTGTCCGCTGTCAAAATCTTGCTAGGATTTACTGACCTAAACGGCAATTTCTCGACGCTGCATTTATTAAGCCATATTTCCACCAGAAACCGATCCTTAGTAAGTGAAAATGGCGAGGGCACAATGTTTAAAAAGTTTGAGTTAAAGTTCTATTTCTCATAGTTCTCCCTGTTGAATTCTTAAATAATTATTTTGCTCTTATAGCGTGAGGTTTTTTCGTCCTTTATATGCAAAAAAGTATCAACATTTTTGTTTCGATAACGCTCCATTAAACTAATTACTATTTTTACAGTGAGCCTTGAGGACTCGTGCGCTGCCAGAAAATCACTGGACACGTCCGACAATACGATAACGCTTACGCGACCACAATGTCTCCCGAAAGCTACGGAGGCGTTCATCGGTGAGTGGGATTACTTTACCAGTTTTGATTGAGTTTTCACTTCCAAAAGTACGAAAACAGCGTTGTCCTCTTAATCTCCTCTCATAGGTGCATTATTTTGCGGATGAATAGACAATATGTGGATACTCATTTACAGAGCTACTAGTAGTACCGATAATATTACTACTACTACGACTACTGCTAATAATATTAATTGCATACGCTATGACTACTAGAACACAGTTTGCTATGTAAACTATTAGAGGTGCTTTTAACGGTCCCTTTTAGCAAATAGTGGACGTGGCCATGCAGTTTATCGTACAACTATTTAAGTCTCAGCATTATTACTTCTTCGATATTTATTAGTCATTATTGCGACACGCATGGGCTCCTCTAGCACTTACTTAATCAACTCCCCCATTTTCAGACACGGCTTCCCCATCACCCGAACGCTTACGGATGTCGCCTGGATCAGAGGTTGGTTTGGTCGAACCAGTCGAATCAAATTCCGACAGTGAGGACTCCAACCTGCCTTTGGACTTCCGATCCAAACTCTCCTCCCAGAGTACATTTGTCATCTCGCCTTCGTCCTCGGAGGAACTAACCGAAGTCATTGATATCACATCACCTCTATCAACACAGGTAGGGTGGCTTCATCGTCAAGAATTGTTCAGTTAAATAAGACTCCTTTATAGTTGGTTCTTCCTTCACTCTCGTTTTCCTATGTTGACGTAATTTGAGCAAGTATGTGTTGAAGTACGTTATGCATTTAAAATGGTAGTGGATTGTACTCTTCGGCCCGAGACTCATTAGGAGTGCAAGCGGTATGCGGTCTATATCACTAAAAGTTTATCGAAATTCGGAAATGTTTTTGGATGAGAAAGGATTACTTAGAGGGAGTTGCAGTACCGACTATCATTCCGTATATTCCTAAAATATTTCAGTCACGACAGGATTTCGGTTTCTAAATGTGATTCTGTGCTATCGTCTGTGGGATCCAAACGTTAAAAACGGCTGTATACGTAGAAGAAATTTTTCCCATTTATTTGCTATACACTCATGCATTCAGATAAAGGAAAATAAAGGAGAGGTTGTTCTGTGTTATTAAGTTGGTTTGGCAGATTTAGTTAATTTAGTTGACCCAATTGTGAA